TATAACAAAGAGTCTGAAAACCCTGACAAAGAAGTAGGAAAACTGAATTCACAGCTTTGAAGGCGTCATCATTCACGCACACAAAACGAAGATCTCATTCATGAAAACACACAAAGTTATCCCATCACGCTAACGACTCCGAGGAGATCCTCTGATCCAATTTGAGAGGCAGTTTTCAAATAAGTGGCAAAAATGAACTGAGACATGCAAATAAAGAGGGATCCCCTGAGTAAGGCAGACAGCAATTGTCCATGTTGTCCAAACCAATAAACCTGCAATCCGCCGTGATGCAACACGGCAACTTGCACATGACAAACAAAAAAGAAAAGGCTTGCATGCAGAGAGATCTTCAGCTGCTCAAGATTTATACTATTACTGCGACTGCCATTATTTTTTGGGTGGAAAATAAACAGTGAATTAGTGCAGAACAAGATAATGTTCACAAGACTTGCAAATGTGGCAGAGTGAGGCGGAGAGACTCATTTGTGAAGATTCATTAGTCACGTATAAAAAAAGAAAAGAGGCTTTGTTCTTCAATCTATCGTTGATCTTTAAAGTTCCACAGCGACGATAAACTGACACCTTTGGATGGAAATTATACATCTTCATGCTGTGGAACATACAATAAACCTGTGAGGTTCCTGTCTCGTCAATAATGGATGAACTATTGTATTTTTTTCCCCCCAATCGGAATCGTCCACAAAGCGCTACAGTATAATCTCAAGGTGCCCTGGTGTCTGCGAGCTACTGGAAAGGTCGTTATCATAATAGCAGGTTATTCATTTCTCTGGCATAAAGCTTCATACTTATGTAAATGGTGTTGAGCAGAGGGCCTTTCTTTGTCTTGTTCTAGGGGCCCACTGATCTAGTTTTTTTTTTTCTCTGTGTGTCAGCCTGTCCTCCAGGCTTTGACAGCCCTGAAACCAGCCCTTCTGAGCCTATTGGAACAGCACAAACTATCTGGAGAGCGAAGAGAAAGTCAGAGCAGGCCTGGGGATAGAGTTCTATCTTGTAGCCTGCTGGGGGGAAAAAAAAAAATCAGATCTGGGGCAGAGAAAATGAAAACACAGCCGTGTTTTAGCCCAACTATCTGCAGCCCATAGGCACTTTATGGATGCTTTAGAAGCCTCGTGCCAAATAAAGATGAAAGTAGTACAATATAATGTCATTATTTGGCAGGATTTTTAATCAATGATGAGTGTCTGGCATATCCAAATGAAGGAATTAGTCACTGGCCTGATATTAAAAATGGAACTGTTCCTTCTCAAACTGCTGGGATTTCGTGCTGCTATCTGTGCGTACCATGTTGTAAAAAAAATGCCGCTTTTCTGTGCGTCCTGTTTATAGGCACCACATGTGTGACAGGTATACTTTAGTTTGCAGTCGTGGTAGGAGAGGTTTTAGTCAGACGGTGAATCAAAGATGATTTTTCGGTGGTTTCTATTCACACACAGGGACACACTGTCAACCAAAGACGCCTTTGTGTCTGCGAGCTACAGTAACCGAAAATAACAAAGATTCCAGCCTGTCGAGAGGTGCTCCATTCGACAACAATAAAAAAAGAAAACAGCCTCAGTCACAAACTCTGCACTCGCTGTTTATTTTATGCCGCGACTTCATTTAAGATTACATTCAGGTGAAATACTTCATACTTTATACTGGCTTAAAAAATGCAGATGAGGAGGTGAGAAATCCATTTCGGTTTTCTGACGTTTTGGACAGATAAGGCGGTTTTGCCACATTTAGCCTCGAAATTTCTATTAAGCCAAACACGAGCATAAAATAGATTTCCACATGAATCCATGCACCTGCCAGCTGCCCGATGGTGGAAATTGGCACTTAGAGGAGAAATGGAAGTCTATTGTTGTGTTGAGCCTGCCAGGGGATCCTTAATTAAACTGTCACCTGGAAGTTGAAATGTAATCTCCAGCTTTGTTATCCGAGCCAGAATCATTTGCCTCCACTTTGCCTGTGATGGGCTGCTTGATAATAACGGCTTAGGACCCGATGATGCAGAGGCTATGTTAATGGTAGAGGGATCATGGAGATCACAAACAGCAACAAAAAACCTCTGACCTGTCGCACCTTGAAATTGAAAATCACCCCAAATTTTTTTTCCTATCACTTTTTTCCCCCCTCGGTTACATCACCCTGCATGTTGATGTACGGCTGACGTTTTTCTTTAAAAACCATTACTTCCTTTGTGCGTTTAACCCCTCTTTTCCCTTCCCGCTGTCACCATTTTCATTTCATTGTTAATGGCACGCTTTCATATTTCTTATCCTGATGTAACTATCGGAGCTCCATTGTGCATTTCATTCATTTCTTTCTTTTGCTTTGCGCCAAAGAAAGGAGGTAAGCGCTGTGTAAAGTCCATTGCTAGGAGAAAGCGTAATTAATCAATGCCCAACCGGGCTGTGTGGGGCAGATGGAGTGAGAAGCGGAGCCGAAATGGCTGGCCTTGCCTTTTGGCTTTATGCTTGAGGAGAGCCTCATCTCTTTCATTATTCACTCACAAAAAGAGGCCTTCACCAAAAAAAGACACCCCGCCAAGTCAATTTACTTGCAAGGCTCCGCTTACTGTTGCGGTGCTATGATAACTATAAATACACGACTTTTATTCACCATGATCTGACAGTGTACTACGGCAGAGGAGGCTCTCCTGCCATCCGGACTTAGAGTCAATTTCTCTGCCCTTTTCATGTCCCTTTGAATCCAAAAGCCGGGGTACAGCCAACGAGAGGGGAGGGGGGCAGGTTTTTCTCATACTGATAGGCCAAGGTAGCTCCATCTGGAAGTTTTGATCTGGAGGACCCTTCTGGACGGCGCTGAGGTCAAAGCCCTCAGATGTAGCTGTCTGGTGGGCTGCCGATGAGAACAAAGAGTCTGTCTTTGATATAGTGTGTCCCAGCGTCAGCCCCCAAACAAACAGGATGAAAGCCTGACCTCTAATCCTTCTCTGCTTGTTGCCCTTTTCTCTGAGGCCCACTGCTAAACAACCAGGACAGTCGGAGAGAATTTGTCTCGATCTCCACCTTTATACTGGAGAGAGAGACGACGCGAGCGACGGCACGGTGCAGAGGGAAGTCGCGGCCACAGTCTTAATTTCTTATCTTTCTTATCTAATGAGAAAGTGCACAGTGCTGGAAAAAGGTTCAGAAATGAGGCAGGCAAATTTATTCAAGGTCACCGTCTACGCGGGAGGAGAAATATTCATGTTGAATTACCTTTGCGAGCGATGCGGATGCAGTTTATTCTGGATTCCTGAAAGAGAAAGAAAACACAGACATCAGAGACGAAAGTGCCGCTTTGCATTTTGCATAAAAGAGATATGATAAGAGGAAAGAGGGCGACATGAAATACTGAGCCGAGGCACACACACATATAGCAGCGTATTTATACATATCATGCTGAAAATATGATTACAAGTGATAAAAACACACACAGATGAATGCTAAAACATAATATTTATTCCTCAGATAAGCTGCTCCACATCTGGAAGCGTTATTGTTTCGACCGTCTGATTGAAAATTCAAATTACTAAACACGAGTGGGCTGCTCTGTTCTTCTCCAAAGAACGCATAATTCTTTTTATGGCAAAGACAAAAGATAAACTAAAAGAAAAAAAAAAAATGAGTCAGAGCAAAAGGACAAATTACCTCTGAGTTAAGAGACGTACTGACGACACGAGGAAAAAAAAAAAATATCTAAAATCTGAGAGCTGTGGTGAAGTGTGTGAGAAGGAGATTAGAGATTCTTGCTGAAGGAGAAAAGATGAAAGTTGAAAGGGAGAGAGCATAATTAAGAGGAGGGTTTCAGACCAGTGCACCACTATGAAAAAGAATTAATTTTATTCAAATTTCATCTGATGACATCTCAGTGTTATGAAAAGGACCTTTGTCAAACAGCACTAATGAGATCCAGGACTGTAATCCAATTCCATCCTGCCACCTCATGGAGGAGATGTATTATCAAATTAAGATTTACAGATGCTAATTCAGGCATTATGGGACAATTATGCAAATTTGCCTATTCGGAAATCAGCAAAAAAATAAAAAATAAACTCCTCAAACTCCCATTAAATTGCTTTTTTAAATTGAAAATCCATTTCAAGCTGACAGACACTTAAACAAGTTCTTAACTTGATGGTTTGATCTGAAATAAACTGCAGACGAACCTGTTGTCTGTTAGAGAGACTGTCACTTCCTCAACACATGTCACACAGTCAGAGAAAGGCAAGAAGCAATGCATACCAAGGTTGTCAGACAAATAGATTTTATTTATAGTACAACGCAGCGCTAGTTTTTATTGTCTGTACTATTAGAGTGTCAGGAGAGCTGGCACATAGATGCACAGGAATACAGCTGCACTCCAATATTTTCAACTCATGCAGCTAAGAATGTGGGTAATTCCTTCCTCCTGTACAGATACACAGCGATCAGACATTAGCACTACCAGTCTAATACTGTATTATTGTATAGATCCTTCTCAAGGCATGAACTCTGCAACACCTCCAAAGGTGTCCTGCGGTATCAGGCGCCGGCACGTTAGCAGCAGATCCTTTAAGTCCTGTAAGGCCGGGATATCACTACAGGAGTTTTGAAATCCTAACACATTTTTATATCAGGTTGCATCACACACATAAAGAGAAACTTCACAGATATTCCTCTCTCTAATATCAGACACTGCAAGATTTAAAAATAAAGGGTCGTCGCACCCTACAGGATGTTATTAAGATGATCGGGTTGGAGGGAGCAGAGCACCACCTCACATGATCTCATGGGCAAGCAGATGTAAACAACACCGACACTTTGGTGCGACAGTTTGCTGTAACCCTATTAACACTTTGCAGGGAGAAACAAACAGAAGCTAAACGAGTCTGGGCAGGACGGAGGTGGAACGAGTGGAGAGCTTCAAATACCTGGGTGTTAACATCACGCAGGACCTGACGTGGTCCTGTCACATCAACACCCCGGTGAAGGAGGCTCGACAGCGTCTCTACCTCCTCCGACGCCTGAGGGACTTTAAGCTCACTCAGGAACTTTTACATCTGCACCATTGGGAGTGTTTAGGCTGGGAGCATCACCACCTGGATGGGCAGCAGGACTCCTTGGCCCTGAGGAGGGTGCTGCTCAAAGCAGGCCTGGACAATGCTTGCAGTGTTAACCAGCTGAGAGAGGCCACTGCAATCAGGGAGTAGCATTAATGTAAAGGGGCGTATGTGGTTTGCAATGTTTTCTGTGTGGTTGGTACATGTCACAGTGCTATCCATATGAATCTCAGAGACCTCAGGTTTCCCAGAGCACCACACTGCCTCTTTACTTGCCTTCTTCACATCCCGCTGCTATCTCATCCTCAGTTAAACGACAAATGATGGAAAAAGAAAACGTGACCAGTCAGTCCAGGCCACCTTCTTCTATTGCTCACTGGTCTAGTTACGGAAATGTGCCACAGTAGCTCTTCTCTAGGATCAGCCTTCACTCCCCACGTGCATCAGTGATCCATGACCCTGTTGGTGGATCACTGGTTGTCCTTCATTGGGAACCACTGCAGACAAAGAACGGTCCCCTCAAGACTTGCTGTTCTGAAGCTGACCCAGTCATCTGGCCATTACAGTTTGTCAAAGTCACTCAGATCCTTCTCCCAACACATCAACCTCAAGAACTGACTGTTCTCCTGCCGTCTGACATAACTCACCTCTTCGACAGATGCCATTCTAACAAAGTGTTTTCCATTCTATCTGTCCGTGGTTTTAATGTTACAGCTGATTGGTTTATAGCAGCCATTTAGCCAAATACGGCTCTATTTTCTGAAGTGTACATTTTGAGGTAAAGCTGCACTTTAAACTGAGAAGTAATATCAGCGTGACTTAATTTTTATTGATGGGCTTCCATCCAGCCATTAGCTATAACCACATTATCCTGCAGAGGGTCACGGGGGGCTGGAGCTTATCCCAGCTGACATTGGACTTCAGGCGGGGCAAACCGTGCAGGTCTTGCTGCATTTCTTTACAGCATAATATAATTTATTTCAATTGCTACTGATTTTCCATTTGTTTTAATTAAAAATCATTAATCAAATTATTTAAAAGTGCAGCCCTGGTTCATTTCTACTGTATGTGTCCCTAGAAATGCTGACTGGTGACTTTCAGCTTTCCAGGGACTGACTCAATTACATAAAACATTTTCCTTCAAAAAAAAAAAAAAAAGCTGATTCATCTGAACCAGGAAAGCATTTGAAATCATTCAATCATTACGAGATTTGACAAATTAAGACGGATGCATTTACATCTATTTACTGATGCAGGCTGTCGTGATGGATAGCGCCGCGTTCTGTAACGTGCACACTTAAATTATTGTGTTACCAGCTCAGCAGTAGAGTTAATTGGCAAACTCCAGATTGCGGAAGACACATCACATGCCTCTCTGTGCAGTCGCGCCAGAGGGGCTGGTGGTTCCTGGCAGCACTAAATACAATACACAAATGCCAACATGCAACAAGGGGGCTCCGCGGCACACACTTGAGGTTTTACGGGGTTTGTGTGTGTGTGTGTGTAAGTTGGGAGATCTAAGTGTAGATGTTATAAATGGCCATGCTGTGGCCTGCAAAGCTAACAATCTGGATCCACGGTCTTTCAAGTAGCTCCTTAGATGGATCAATCAAAGCAATTACAGAGGCTTGACAGGCGCTCTCCAGATAATTAGCATGGGTAAATGCCAAATATCGTGGGTCCTATATACTGTTCAAACTATTCCTAACACTGCCACTGTTGTAGAGGGATTAGGTGCAATGTTGTCTCTCTGCAAACACAAACTTAAACAGAGCCTGATTTAATGAGGTGCGCAATTAAACGACAAAATAAGGAAGCCGACAATTCTGCTTGCATTTTAATAAAGCGTTAAGGGCGCTTAAATGATTGCCAAACACGACAACTTTATCAACAACTGTTTCATCCAAGCAAATGTGTGACTTTTCAAATGTCGCATTCTTAGGAGAGAGCAGCTTTCACTGCCAGGTACGGGTCTTTTATTTCTTCTGCTAAAACGAGCGGCCATAAGGTAATTACTCTTCCATCTTCTGAATACAAAAACCACCACAAAAATACCCTTCAGTACATGCATATGCTGAACGCCTTTATCCTTTTGTACAAAGTCAAATTTAAAATGCTAAAATACTCTCTTCTGGCCCACATTTTAGTGACAGCGTGAGCACAGCGTTGTAATGTAAAAAAAGGCCCGTGTTGCATAATTGCACACGGAGGATAAGACGCGAAATGGCACAAAACATTTGCTGAAACGTTCCCGGTCCGTACAGGCGGCGCGAGTCAAACATCTGCTTTGTGGTTTTAATTGACAGTTTCATTAACACGTGGATGTGACCACCGTCGACGGTGCGAAGTGAAAAATGACAACTGTGAAATGTTAATAATATCATTAACAGGCAAAGGTGTCATGATATATAATTGGTGGTTTGTTAGGCAATTTTATGCTTTTTCAAATTTATTTTACAATACGCACACAACACCTTTTTTTTTTTTCCTTCCACTGCTGTGATCCTCATGTTGTCATAGTCCTGCTGTGACATGTCTTTTGTCCCCCGCTGTGACATGTGTGAGTTATATGCCAAGCAACACGCTGCTCTTGAACTCTACTGAACTTTAGCTAAATCACACGCTTTTTAGCTGACATTTTTTGGTTTAAAAAAAAGAGATCTTGTGCTTAAAAAGAGGACACAACACCCTCTCCCTGACAAACATAGACCAAGACAGGACAGATGCCCAGATTTCAACACTCGGTACTACGACAGTGTATTTCCAGGCGAAGGCAGCAGTGTTTGAAGAGGCTGGGGACAGAGTTGGCTGTGTGATTTGGCACTGTGCTCCCCTCATTGTGGGTCATGGATGCTGGCCCCCTGCCAGGCTAAACAAAACCTAATCCCATCCGCCGGTAAAGCCAGGCCTCCCCTATCTAATCCCATTCTTAGTCGCCTGGTTGTGTGAAGTGCTCACACTGCACTCCCTCCGTGTGTTTGTCCACTGGGTTGGAAAAAGATGCTACTAGTGGGGATGAGCCACCCAGCTCTTGTTCATGGGACTCTATGACACGCTAATGCGATGAATAAGGGTTGAAAAGAACCAGCGACTGACAGAAGTCACTGACGGCGACCCTGCTTGCATGTATTTATTCCCAGAGGATGATCACAGAAGGCCGCGTTACCTACGGCAACATTTCTCTGCCTCATTGCCACAGTCTGCGAATACTAAAGCAGCAGCTTTCTACCTCTGATCATCTGCACCTGTGCCCAATTATCCTTAAGTAATTGCCTCACCCAGGTAGCAGCTCTTCCTGTAATGGAATTTGGAAAGGTAATGTGGCATCCTCTGGGTACGACTGGAGGTCTTTGTCTGCTCAAGAACGAGGAAATGAAAGGAAACACAGCAGAGTGGAGTAACTCGCCGTTCCTCAATTAAAAAGGCCTACGACCAGGATTCAGGTTTTTGCAATGTGTGTACAAATGCAGACATGCAAAAGCTTTTGGTCTGTGCTACCTTGGTCAACTAGATAAGCGACTGATTAGGCGCATAAAGAACGAGACGAGCAGACAGAGGAGAAAGGAATGAGACAGAATAGTAAAAGGAGAGAAAACAAAAGGCAAGTGGCGCAAAGTGAAGTACATTGTTTACTCTGAGTAATTCCAGCTAATCACTGCTTTGCTAGCTGTAAGTAAAGCATGCAAGTAATTCCTGTTCCAGAAACGCTTTGTTTGCAAAGAATCAAAGCACTGGGATATAAACATTCATAATTTTCAAGTAGCTACATTGCCAGCTCAGATTGTTTTCATCCAACAACCTCCTTCACTGCATAAATACTCTTTCAAGGGTTGTGAGCCCAGACAATGCCAACTGTCCTACAGCATCAGCCACAGCATTATAACTGTAAATACAGATACTCATTAACACCACTCATCACTGAGCTCAGAATTGCTCTGAATAGTAATGCCTCCAGCTACACGATGAAGTGCTGCCAGATCTGCTGCACCGCGGGTGGGAGTTTAACAGACACTCACCCCTCGGAAGTTGCTCATAGCCTGGAAGTAGACGAGGTAGCTCTTTCGGGGGTCCAGAGGGCTGTTCCAGTAGCCGTTGTAAGTGTGATTGTCGCCCACGGTGAAGGGACTGGCCTCTGGCAGGCTGCTGGGCGGCAGCTCGGCGGTGTAGTAGTGCGGCGTGCCTCGGGCCTGGGCCTCGCCGTGAGACATGGGCAAAGGGAAGCACTCCTGAAGCCCCAACTCCCGCTTCACTTTCTTCCCGGTTTCCTCCTCGACCACCACCTGGTAGGTGCTGGATGCAAAATGGATGTGCACCTTTAATAAGCCATGTTTGGTTGTATAAAATGTATATTATATACGAGGGTACTTCATAGCGACATACGATTAAGCCTTAAAAAACAAAAATGTAAATGTTTTAGGCCAGGGGTGTCGAACTCCGGTCCTCGAGGGCCGCAATCCTGCATGTTTTAGATGTTTCCTTCTTCCAACACAGCTGATTCACATGATCAGGATCGTTATCAGGCTTCTGCAGAGCTTGATGATGAGCTGATCATTTAAATCAGGTGTGTTGGAAGAAGGAAACATCTAAAACTTGCAGGATTGCGGCCCTCGAGGACCGGAGTTCGAGACCCCTGTTTTAGGCAATCAAAGAGAAAAGAAGAGGAAAGCTTGGAGCCGGCTGCTGTTGCTTTAAGCATTAGTCCACACAGTACAGGTGTGAGATGCAGCAGAATGTGGCTTTGAACTGTTGAGCCATTCATCTTACTCATACGACCTGCCCCGTCTGACTTCTATCTGTTTCCCAAACTCCCATTTTGCCATTTGAGGGTGATGGTTAAGTCATGCATGCTGTTCAGGAATATCTGAAGGCTCAAGATGAGACCTCCTCCCGCGAAGGGATAGCAAAGCTTGAATATCGGTGAGCCCAGTGCATTGAACTTAAAGGAGACTGTGTTAAGAACAATCTTTCTCCCGTGATGTTGAGGCCAAGAACTTTTTGAAGTGCCTTCGTACATCTGACACGGCATCCGTACCTGACAGGTGCTCCTCTGCCTTGGGCGGGTCGCAGCAGGACGGTAATTGTGCTCTCCGTCTCGCTCAGGGGGGACGGCATGTCTCCGTAATCAAACGTAGGAGCTGTGGACACGGAAACAAAGTTGTCAGAAGCAATTAAAGCACATGCACACACACACACACATGCACAAACCTCGCCTTAGCCGGTGCTCATTTAGGCAACATTAACTCAGTTCAAACACTGCCTCTGCCTCTTTCTCCTTCCACGTAAACATGCTGAGCCCTAAAATGTCACATGAAACAGACAGACAGTTTAATTTTAGCAGAAAGCTCTTCCTTTCTCAGCATAAAGGGCCAACAGTGCTCATATGCCCAAAACCCAACACTGTCATATTCAGTATATTGTTTTTGAATTTCTTTTCTAGTTGTCTTGGCTACAAGTCCAATTAAAAGTCATGGGAGTGAGGCTAAATTGAATGGGTTTCTCATTTGGCAGGATTTGGCTAAAGTCATGCTCCTCCCCGGAGATGTGGCAGCACATTTCTCTTTAATATCAGCAGTCAATTAGCGAGGGGAAAGAGAGCAAACTGTTCATGAGGAATCAATAATTATTATATTAAAAAGCAGCCTGCTAATACGGCAGCAGAAAAGGAGCTGACATCAATTAAGGTGAGGCATTAAGGCAAACCAGACGAGCGTTTGTCGATATTAAAGGTTTCTGTCGAGCTAGAAAAGAGGGTAGGATACTCTGCGGTGGGTGTTGCTTGAAGATGCTGACAGTAGTAGCTGCTGAAGGTGTTCAGTGTTTGCTGGCTGTCAGTGCAGATTTGAGAGACGCTCAGTGTAAGTGAATGTTCTGCACCGTGGGCCAGTGGAGGAGGTTGAGGATGATCTGAAAAGACTTTTGGACTCTATCTGCGGTCTGGCTTTGTGCCAGAATCCTGTCTGACACACTGCCAGTGAGCTGTGATTGTGCACTAAATCTATAATTAAACAAACCGGACCTCTTTGTAAAGAAATCGGGGCAGCAGAGGGGCGAGGGGGAGTGAATGTGTGAGCAAGACAGCGCAGGAGTGGCCGTGTTGTGTGTTCCTAAGAGGTGTAATCCCATCCCTTAACAAGCGCAAATGCATCATTAAAAGGAAATAGAAACACGAAAGGCTGGATTTCTATCACCAGTAATAAGCTCTGAGACTCTCAGAAGTGACATTCCGGTCCCAGGAACGCACTGCATCTTTTTCTTTATACATAACACACAGCAGTGTCCCCTCTGTGGTGTTTCTCTGCCTCCTATGAGTTAATTTATGTCTTGAGGACAGTGAGATGACAGTGCGCCACTAGTTTAAAAAAAGGCAATGGAACACAGCTCTCACACTCTGGGAGCAGTAGTTTTGTCTCAGCAAGAGGAGCAGATACCGAGGTCAAAAGGGAGAAAACCTGCATCCTAATTATAGCACACGGTGGGTGAAGTCTCAGTGTTGTACCTGCATGCTGCATTAGCGATAAGCGGTGACGGCGCGCAGAGAGCAGCCTCGACATGGGAAGGATGTTTGTTTCCACGTTTCTATTTGCTTTCACGCAGCTTTTAAGACGCTCGGTTGGCTCGTACCTGAGATGTTAGTGGTGATTTCGGTGAGGGCGGTCTGGCCGAAGCCCTTCGCCGTTCGCGCTCGCACAGAGATCAGGTAAGTGGTTCCGGGGTGCAGGTTGGAGAACATGTGGTACGTCTCGTTCTTAAGTTTGGATACTGTTCTTCTGGGTCCTGGAACGTTGATGCCCGGATCAGACGACTCGATGCCCTGGTAACTGATCTGAAAAAAAATCAGGATTGTGTCGGCGATTGTACAGAAAACAGCAACATTCTGACAGATTTTGTGCTTTAATATTGTAATAAAATTCAATTTATGTTAGAGTTTTGATCGGTGCACTCCGTCATAAGTAGTAATTTAAATGTTTGACTGATATGATTCGCCTGACTCAAAAATTAATTTGCTTCTCAAGTTCAGTGTGCTAATTGCTCATGTTGGTTTACAGTTTTAGTTGAATGGGACTTAACCGGCCCCGCTAAGCCAAAGGCACACCGTCTTTCAAAAAGTATTGTGAGTGCTAAATGATTTTCTGAGTAATACCTTCTAAAGGCCAAAGAGTGAGGACAGCACACAGTAAAAACTACATTCAAGTGTTTAAATCAATGCTGCTAAGTGTTTATGAGTTCAATTAACTCTCATTAATGCTCAGAAATTGCTGCGCTTGAGTGTCCTTTAAAAGTGAAACCTTTTATAAAGTTTTTCCTCAAGAGGTGATTTGCCTCGCCGGTACCTCATGAGAATTTCCACTTCTACTCTTTGAAATAGTGGAGAGCTAAATGAGATGACCTTACTGCAATCAGACAAGGGTGAGCATATTAGGATATACATTAGAGCTGGAAGAGATCCACTTCATTGGAGGAAGGAGAACACACTATGTGCTGCATGTATTGCACTAAAGATGCCACTCAAGCCAAACCAAAGGCTCTGCTGATTATCATAAGAAGAGCTTAATGCCTGCTCATGCCTCCTTAGTGTGAAGATAGAATTATGAGCTATCCGGTGACTAAACACAGACGGACCGCTGTGTTTCCGCTACAAAGGCAGACATAAAGGACGCCAGACGCTGCACAGAGCAACGAGGAGGGCTTGCAGGACAGCACGGCGGTCGATAGGCTCAGGCAGAGTGGTCAATGGTTTAATCTGAGAAAAATGAAGAGGATTTCTACAGCTCTGTATAAAGCTTTCTCTGTCAGTGGAGGGAGATCAACACACTACAGAGTAAAAAATCCTGCGCAGCCTCCACTTTATATGTCAAACCAAAAAATCCTATTTAATAATATCCTTGAGGCGACATTGCAGGAGAGAAGAGGCCAAGGGAAGAGGACTGGAGGATAGGTAGGCAGGCCCTACTGATGACTCACCACAGAAACAGGGCATACAGTAAATAGAAAATCATTATCCAGCTAAATGGAAGCCCTACGGCACAACAGATGCATGGGAATTATTGAATAACGGTGCCAGGCTGTATTTCAAGGGGACAAGACCACTCTTAAGTCCAAACCAGAGAGCGTATCTAACCATCGCCGCTATTTTTGTTAATATAGGCACAGCGAAGCATGCGCTAAAGGCTTTGGCTGCAAAAAGTATAAACTGCAGCAGAGCGGTTTGGTGATTAAGCACATACTGTATGTTTACTGTGCCAGTCGCAGTGAAACTGAAAACGGCTCACCAAATAGAGAGAGGGAAGTATTTCTTTTTTTTTTTTTGCACTAGGCACGAAAATACCCACATAACAGGCACATTTTGTAGTGTTGCTGGAGATCATCTTGTGCTGGAACAAATGCTCGAGTGCAAAGTGGATATGGGCATGCTGGCTATATGCTGTGTGAGTATTAGAGGGGCTACAGTTTAAAAGCCATTCACAAAGTGCCTAACCAAGACGCTGTAAATACAGCTGCTAAGAACCCAGAATGAAATCTCCTCAGACGATGGAATTTGATTCATTTTTTCTGACTACCACATGCCAGGTTTGTATTTAAAGTGAGTTTTTATTGGACCAATAGGATCCATCTCACTGAAAATGAGATGTTACTCATAAATGTGTTTGTTTTTTGTAAATTTTCTTTAACATTCTTACAGAAAATATCCAAAGACATTCATGCCTCTTGAAACCGTCTCAATTATTTGAGAAAATTCAGCTTCTATCCCACTCCAAAAGGTCCTGGTAATTTTCATTATGTTCTAATGCATTGTAATAAGCTGTAAATTGAGAACAACTGCTGTAGGAGTTCTCTAGTCATTTAATAGACAATTGAAAGTTGTGGTTAAAACCAAAGAGCTCAGTAAGCCGCTATTAGACTCCATCACTGAGAGAGAGTTGTGCAATGTGGCTGCTAACAAGACAGGGAAAGGCTGTAACGCCAGATCGAGTGTTTTCAAGTGCTAGCGGCCACAGTGCAAAGTGTAATCAAAATGTACAAAGGTCATGGCAGAAAGCAAACAGTGACTCCTGCACTGGCAAGAACAGTAGAGGCCAAGAAGAATCCAAGGAGCAGCACCAAGATCCTCCTGACGAATCTGAGCAACAGTTCAACACAGAAACTCCAGCAGACACTGAACAAGGTTGGTCTCCATGAACGGAGACCAAGAAGGACTCCATCCATCCATCCATCATCTATACACCGCTTAATCCTCACTAGGGTCTTGGGGGGCTGGAGCCTATCCCACCCGACTTAGGGCGAAGACAGGGGACACCTGGACAGGTAACCAGTCTATCACAGGGCTACACTTAGAGACAGACAACCAAGCACACTCACATTCACACCTTTTAGAATCACCAATTAACCTCAACATGTTTTTGGACTGTAGGAAGCTGGAGAACCCAGAGAGAACCCACGCTGCACGGGGAGAACATGCAAACTCCACACAGAAAGATTCTGGTGCCCCCACCGGGACGCAAACCGGCAACTCCAAGAAGGACTCTACTTCTTGAAATCAGGATTGCAAAAGTTCACCTGGACAAAAACTTTTGGTCTTCAGTTCTCTGGTCAAATAAGATGAAAACTGACTTGTTTGGCAAAAGAAAGGAGAAGCATCCAGCGCCAAGAACACCATCCCAGTGGTCGAGCATGGTGGTGGGAATGTGATGCTTTGAGGGTGGCGGGACTAGCAACCTGGTCAAAGTAAACGCCACCATGAGAAAAGAGGAGCACATTAAAATTCTGAAGGAAAACATCAAGCAGTCTGCAGATAAACGTGTCCTTGGGCAGGACTGGACCATCCAACAAAACAATGGTATGAAGCATACAGCCAAAGTGGTGTCAAGGAATGGTTAGCAAAAAAAATATTGAAACTTTGAAGCAGCCCACTCAGTCCAGACCTGAATCCCATCAAGAACGTGTGGAGGGAACAAAGACCAGAGTGATGGCAAGGAGGGCTGCAGGCTCAAAGAGCTGCAGATCCCCACAAAAGAGGAGTAGAAAGTGGAACAAAATCCCAGTGAAGAGACGCAGAAAGATTGTTAATAATTATAAGAGCTGTTTAAATAATGCAGAGGCAAATAAAGGCTTTGATATTGATTACTGACAAAGAATATGTAGAATTTTGCACAGAGCATTTTTCATTTTTCAAACATCTCAATCACGACATCGTACCTTCCTGTGACACCTATTAATGCCACTGCCAGCCCCAAGAAACCTATTGGTCCAAGAAAAATTCACTTTAAATCCAACTCTTGGCATGGGTATGAATAATTTGGGGCTTAACTGTGTATATGATTATGTATTATGCACATTAGGCCAAGAGTTAATATCAATTCGGCCACACGTGTAATGCAAATAACCTGATAAATGCGCTCATCCAGAAGTTGTCTCCTTTTCATCTGCTCGCCTCAGCGTGCCAGTTCATGTATGTTGTTAGTATTAACAAGCATTAACGCTCTGCCACCTGAGTTAACAGCTCTGGAACTGTGCAGATGAATTCCAGCCTCATGAAGACACGTAGCTGCTGAATCAGTGACAATGAAGTATCTGGATTTTTAGCCGCTTTTATTGACCTGCCAAAGCTGCCTTTTTACCTGCTTGGAGCTTTAATTTATTTTGGTTAAATTACTCTTGGATGGGTTGTTAAAGTCACCATCCGGCCCCACTCAGGGAATCTTTTCCTGCTTCGACGACGACCGAAGAACCGCATCAGAGCGTTCTTCCTCCACAACCAGCTGCATGTTGCATTAAAGTTTTCCTACCGAGTTGACTCATGCAGGTTGTGTGTGACGACAGCAAAGTTTAATTTGGATTTGCAGCTGAACGTTTCCCCTTACACCCCTCGTGGCATTACACATTCTGGGAGGCTGCTGCCTTGGATGACTGCCACAGTTCATTGTCACTCAGAGGAAGATTCTGTCGGAGGTGACTGCAGGGTGTCAAACTCCTTTATCAGGCTGCATGTGATCCACATTCAGGTGTTGCTTTACTCTCTGGTCATTATCCGTTCATTTGACAAGCAGTTGTAGTGTTGCAAGTGTTCAAATTTGAACTTTTCTGTGCCCTCAGTGGGCTCCTCATCTGTCATGTCTTTTGTTTTAAAGACCCCTAATTGGAAAATCTACTTTTTCACCATTCTAACGTGTCCATATGGTGTATTGTTATACGCTAGAAGACACATCTTGAGTAAAATAAGCAGTCAACGCTATGGCTGAGTATTTTCACCTAGAAAAAAACAAACTTCTAAATATGTAAATTTGAGTTAACGAGTTATTCAATGACAGTAAATGGAGACTTTTTGCTTTTTTGTTCTACACAGTGTGCCAAACGTGTAAAGGATCCTATTTGTCTTTTTCCCGTTGTTCAAAAAGCCATAAACACATGAGGAAAATGCAACAACTCTTGTGCTCATGTGTTTATTTGCACTAACTTAACCTGCAAAGCCAATAACTGGCTGAATATGTCGCTTCCTACAGCGGCCACCTCGCTGAGTGCTTGGGCCGCCCCCCAGGACAGAAGGTGGTTTTAGATAAATGCATCGTGACAGAATACAGGTTGCATAAATAAAGGGTCAAGATCCAACATCCATTGTCGAGTATTCCTCAAGTGTAAAGAAGTCAGCTTTTGATGCTGCTTCAACAGAGTTTTGATCCTCAAACAACTTTTGGTTTGTTTTTTGCTTGTGTTGCATTTTCAGTCACTGTGGGCTCTTTTTTTTTTTACTGTAATATAAAGTCCTGCTCCTCTACAAAAACAGCACAATCATGGCTAGAAGTAGAGTGGCCACAGGTGTTTTCAATACTGGTACACATGAGGTTCTACATACTATAGATCAGGGGTCTCGAACTCTGGTCCTCGAGGGCCGCAATCCTGCAAGTTTTAGATGTTTCCTTCTTCCAACACACCTGATTCAAATGATCAGCTCAGCATCAAGCTCTGCAGAAGCCGGATAACGATCCTGATCATTTGAATCAGGTGTGTTGGAAGAAGGAAACATCTAAAACTTGCAGGATTGCGGCCCTCGAGGACCAGAGTTCGAGACCCCTGCTATAGATATTTTAGTGACTTCCGCTTCCTGGGAGTTCACTTAGAGGAGAAACTGACCTGGAATAAGAACACCACACAGCTGGTAAAGAAGGCACAAAAAAAGACTCCACGTCCTGAGAATCCTCAGGAAGAACAACATCAGCCAGAGACTGCTTGTGTCTTTTTACCGCTCCACCATGGAGAGCATCCTCACATACTGCCTCTGTACGTGGTTTGCCAGCTGCACAGTGGCAAACAGAAGAGTGCTCCAGAGGGTCACCAAAATGGCTGAGAAGGTCACTGGGTGCCCTCTGCCCACCCTGGAGGACCTTCATGGCTCTTACTGCCTCAGGAGAGCCAACACCATCCTGAAGGACTCCTACCACCCAGGACATTTTCTGTTTGAGTTACAGCCGTCAGGCAGACGGTACAGGGCCGTCAGAACCAGAACCAACAGACTAAAAAACTGCTTTTTTCCTACTGCTGTTAGAACAATAAATGCCTCCCAGTCAAAAATAATGTGCAATATACAACTCCACTACCTCTGCCCAACATCCACTCTGTGAACCGTGCTCATTATTTAATTTCATCTTGTATATAGAGTTCATTTCTTTTTGCTTGTTTTTATATATATATCTCCTTTATATTGTATATAGTGTTTACAAAGTTTTTTACAAAGTTTCTATTGTTCTACAAGTTCTTATATTTTTGCACCTTCGTTTCGTTGTACTTGTTACAATGACAAAAAAACAAATCTGAATCTATTTACCATAATTACAACCTCTACTTTTACAATACTATAGACACCAAAACATTTCACCGTGCTGGATGTATCTTCCAACAACTCGCTAACAACTTGCTCCACTGCACACCCTCTCTGAGATATATTGCATTTCTTTTATTGATAAAATATCATTTATTTAGCTCTCTTGTCGTCTCCTCTGCGCTCTGTGTAAACACAGCCGGCAGTTCACCTGAAAAAAAAAGTCTCTGAATTTGTGTCACGTAACTGTTGGTTGCAGCTGAGTCAGTCATGGCTTCTCAGTTGCGCAGAGGAGCATAGAATTTTTTTATTTATTTATTTATTTTTTTTAATTTAAGGATGCTTGCAAACTGTTAACTTTTAGCACATAGCAAAAATGGTTTCAGTGAAATATAATTTCAAGCTTAGATTTTTAGAACCACATGTAGCAGATTCTTTCTCTAATAAAGGATTCTGCAATTTTTGAGATTCTTTTTAAAGAAAACACGCCTCTTAAACCTGCTGATAGGTTTGGGTGGTTTAATTAGAGGTTCAGTCTTACCAGGTATACAGGTATAGATCGCAGTATATCGTCCAAACACTTCAGTAAGTCTTTTTATTTATCAGGTTAAAAGTCAAACATGGTATTATGGTGTACACGAATTCTGTGGGTCTCACACACAAAGGACGCTGTTATTTTGAAGGGGACAGGGGTAAGGTTTTCCAGGTCGTGGGAAAGCGGATGTGCTATGTGTGAGTGAGTTTTTGCTGTAAGTGGAGTCCAATAAAGGAACAGAGACTCAAGCTCAACTCTCGTCTCCCTTTTTATCGACTTCCACAGTATTTGAATACATGGACATCTTATGTTTTGCTTGTCCGGGTACATAGGCTAAGCTACCATGTGTCTCACCTCATATTGGGTAATAAGGCCATTGGGCTCGATAGGCTCCTCCCACTTCAGGAAGATCATGTCATCCAGCGGGGTGAAGGTGAGCGACTCCGGCGCGATGCCTCCGGGTACTACGAGAAATTGTCAGAACAAACATTTGTCAGGGAAATTGAAGTGCTAATCCCACAATGAGCCTCCGCCGTCAATATCACAGGAGCGAATGTCACAGGGGCCCAGAACAATACGCCGCAGCCGGAGAGCAGCAGCCAGAGAACATCAGATAAGCGTGCAGTTAATTTATGAGCTGCATAAATTATGTAACTACAACACAGGCAGGAGCAAGAAAATATGAGAAAAAAAAATTATAATTTTATGTCTGCCTTCAGTCAAGAGTTTAAATGTATTGATGAACACGCCAGTTGCTTGCTGGTAAATGTGTGTCTGAATGGCAGCGAGAGGACCAGCGTTCAACTGTACACAGTTTTTTTGGGCCATTCAGTTTCAGTCCACATCCCCACGGTCTGTGTGAGCACAGTACAGAGGAAGACTGTTATGTGAGGTTCAGGCCTGAGGCGAAAGCAAGAGCCAAACAGCTGAGTTGACTGTTATTTCTGAATTCAGTTAGTCTGGAGGACAAAGTTGCTTATTAAGGCTTTTGGAAGAAAAAAAAGGGTTCATAATTGGCGTATACTGTATGTATATATACATATATTCGTCTTTATCAAAGCAAAAAAAAGACGTTCACTTGCTCCCTGGCTCTCTGTTGATCTTTTTTTTTTCTATATATCTCTTTCTGAAAAATCTTGTTTGTGTAGATTTTTTCATGGCAGAATTGATTTCTCCCCCTCAGCCGCCATGCTGACGATGTGCCGCGGCACAAAGGAATAATAGGAGATAAGAAACAAGCACAAAATCCTATCTCAGGATTGCCCGAGTCTCAGATATAATGTTTTCTCTTTTATGTTATTTTCATCTGAAAATGAAAAGGATCTTTTGTAATGCTGATTCGGCCTCGGTCAAATGGTCACCCTTTCTATTCGCAAGACAGAGACGCTGGCAGAAGTGTGTATAAAATACTAACAAAGCCTGATTGATATATATATGGATTTGTGTATTTTATCCACTAATGTTACAGCAGATTTATGTTCACAAAAACCCAAAAGCCTCAAAACCATAACATATACGGGATAATGTGACAGTAAAGGTCTGGTAATGGGACGTGTCTGTTCTGGATAGTCTCTGTCTGACATTTATTGTGAGAACATTTAAACAGTTTGAGATATTCTGGTACATTTCACACGTCACATTTACGAGACAGAGAGCGAAGAACAGACTACCATTGAACAAATGACACTAATAACCCTGGGGCGTTGTGAATACTGGCTGGAGAAAGCAGAATGCACTGGAACTGGATGGTTTTTTTGCATTTAAAATAACAAAAACACATTAGTATAATATACAACGTGATATTAAATGTTTGGGTTTTTTTTACAAAATTAGATGAGAAGTTAAAAAAAAAAAACAACAACCTATAAGTTAAATGGATGGTGTGTAAATACCCTTTATGAACAGTTTATTAGCTGCTTTAACCCTCTGAACCCCAAATTCATCCGCCAGCTTTTAAAGGTGTGTTCATCTATTTAGAAAATCGTCAGAATTACACCATTTATCAGAAACTGTAAAGACTGTAAAGATTTTTAAACTCCTTTAACCAATCATGTGTGACGTGCAGCTCCACTTGCAAACTTAAATACATCTAAACATTTTGACACTTCAACAAAATCATTGTGCAAAAATGCAGGCTGTGTATAAACAGAGCAGATAGGAGCCAAGTATGGAAAGAAATTAAAAATGTAAGTAAGTAATACAATATCTATAGTATTTCGAGCCAGCCATTATCGTTAACACATCTGGGAACTTGGAAAATGTTGTACATGTTGATTTCAGATTCAGAATTCATCTTTGGGGGTTTTTTTTGGTTTCTTTTTTAGCACTTATTTACTTGATTGTAACTTTGCTATATGGCACAAAATAAATTTTTCAGTTCTCTCTACTTCTAGACATAGTTGTGCTGTTTCCATGGAGGTGCAGGACTTTTTTTAATTGCAGTGACAGTGACGGGAGCAAAAATCGCCCAGAAACTGCTTGAGGTTCAGAGGGTGACTATTAGCAGCTATGTCTAATGCAGCAGTCCTGGAATTAATCTAACCTTCACCAGGGTTATTTTTACATTTTTGTTGAAACCGCTTTAGGAAGGTGTTGATTACGTTTCAATGCTGGAGGCTGTAGCTTTGTGTTGTTGAACTGCACTGCATCATAATGTAGAGAAGTGTCTCTGTTATTGTTGCCTGCCCTCGCTGACATGAATGAGGTGGACAAGATGACAGAAACATCTGACGGTCGAAAGCAAAAACAACTCAACACAAACTACATAATGTGAAATTAATATCAGTTCAAAACATTTTCAACAAAAACTGATTATATCCTAAATCAGGCAGGAAATGATTTATTGCGTATTTGAACGCACTAATATTTGTTCAGTGTACCTGACAAGCTGGCAACTACTCAGGTGATAATATCAACAGATGTTCACTATTTCATAATGCCACTTTTCATTTCCAGTCTTCCTGCGCTGTGCTTTAACACCGTCCCTTCTGCACCCTCCTCCCAGGACTTACTGTCCTCCTCAGTCTGAAAGGTGACCTCTCTGCCCTCTTTCTTCCCCTCTGGGTTTGCCAGTGACAGACGGACATGGATGCCGTGGTAGGGTGGCAGATCACGCAGCGTGAAGCGTGAGGCGTTGTGCTCCACCGCCAGGCACTCGCGCACCGTGGTGTTGTGGCCTCCGCCTCCTCCCGCCATGGTGTAGCGGTAGCACAGGGACACTGAGTAGGTGTGGCAGCGTGTCAGGTTGAACGCCAAACTCTCCCACTGCAGGGACAACTGCCGGGACTGGATGTCTGTGGCTAGGAGGCCTCGCAATGCGCGCATGGGCTCTGGGGAGGGGAAAAGAAAAAGGAGAAGAAGAAGAAAAGAACAATTAGGAAACTCTGAAAGACACAACATTGAATTTCACAAGATGAAAACACAGGTTGGATTGTATATAATATCTGATTTTAGACAGAAAACCCTGCCAAAGACAGTGCTACTAATGTCCCAGGACTATGCTGGCAGATTTTCAGCTGTTCCTCTCCTATGTGCCGCCATATTGCCCCGCCACAACAGTTTGCTGCCAGCACAACACACCCCCGTCCCCGGCGGCTGAGCAGGAACTCATGCCAATTGCGCTAATTAATCGGACAGGCTGTGGGTTGCTGTCGCGCTCCCACCAGTCCCCTCCTCCATGTCACAGAGCAAATTGACTATCCAGTAGTTATACTTTGGTTGCCTTGAGGTTGAGTCCACACAGAAAAATGCCAGCGCTACGCAAGGACGTTCACTTCCGCTGGTCACTCTTACTGCTGGGTCATCGCAGTGGCCTGACGCATATTTATAGAAGGCACCAAGTTAATTCTGGTCATTGCCGGGTTAACCCTGACTTTCACTGACTCATTCGGAAAGAACAACATCTCTGTCTTTGATATCCCCATTAAATCTAGCGGCTCACTGAAAGATACAGAGAGCCTCTATCCACGGAGGCACAGAGCAGCCAGTGTTTCAGGAGGACGTCCGAAACTGAACAGAGGCCAAGTTAAGCCAAGGACATCCTCCGTATCAATGGAGGCATTTATCAGCGGCCATTATTAACACAATCAATGCCTTTTTGTCAAGCAATATGCTACATAATGTATTGTACGGCTTTATTCTTTTAATAGGGCATGTTGAGTAATGGGCCAGGGAGGCAGGGAATGACAGCAGAGATATGGGGTACAGGGAGAGATCAGTGGAGTTTGAGGTTGCCGGCCAAGGTCTTCATTCGCTCACTGACTCGCACACTCAGAGGGATTGTCGCTGCAGCACAGATTAGTGCAGGGAACTTAAATAAAGCAGCTAATGCATCACTGAGCAGGGCCTAATGCATTAAAACAAGAATTATCTAAGAAAATGGGTTTGAAAGGTGGTCTGTGCAAGGACACGCAAACACACACTATGCACACACATTGGTTGTGTGAAACTATTATTTAACTCTATGTCCATATCACTCCTTTATCTATTTATCTCTTCCTCCTTTTTTTTTTTATCCATTTCACATGAACACACACGCTCTGTTCCCAGTTTCTCGGGCACTTATTACTGGCTGCGGTACAGCACTTGAAATTTTATGACACTTTCAATCTATACTGAAGGCCTCAGCAGTCACCAGCTTTCTCTTTTAATTTGCCGTCTGGCATCTCATACTAGATGGAAATATGACCAGAGCATTGATCTGAACCTCAGCCAGACTAATGTGACAGCAGATAAATGGGTGGGTACGGTAATCGCAAAGTAAGAAATGTTAATGTTCCATTGTTCACTGTGACTGAGGATTGTCGTAATGGTGCAGTTGATAGTCCGCAAAGTGTGAGAGCTAAATAAAGAGAGGCATTTAACTGCTGAGTTGATGAAAGCAGCACCAAAGAGGCCACAGTGTGCTCATTATGGGTTTTCTCAAAGTGGACATTTGTGCCAGGCCCGGCCCCTTGCCTCGTCTAATTTGTCTGTATGCCACGGGCACCCACTCTCTGGCACCCTGTGGCACGAAAACCGCAGCCGTCCCAACGTGGCCAAAAGCCCAGAGCACCATGTTGATCCCTGGAGATTAGAAGTTAGAGTGCATGTGACAGGTTCTGGTTTATTATCTCCCCTAAAACCGTGACATGGGACGGCAGAGCTGCCTTCGATTGCGTGAAGAGGATTTCGACTGACTGCGTCCGACGGGAAAACCAAATTTAAACAGACACGAGCCCATAACCAAAGCTGCATAAATCCAAAACATCCCAAACGTGCGCATATAGGAAATTCTGGCTCCGGATGCGAAGACATGATGAACGAGATGCCAAGAAAGGCAGAGTACTTGTGTTCCTAATGTGGCTAAATTTAGTCGGGCTCCACTGTTGGCTCCCTTTAGCAGAGCAAGAGCATCATGGGCTGGGGCTTTCCAGAAGGTTCAGTGACCCAGCAGCAGGTGGAGGCCCATTAACATAGTTTGGGGACCACCTGCAGTACAAATGTTCGCCTCTCCTCTGCGATTTACTTGAGGGGCTTCAAGCTGTGCTAATGCACCGTGCTGATAATCACAGCAATGGCTCATCAAGCACACCTGGATGGCCATCAGAGCCAGGCGGAGAGCGTGTTCACATTCACGGCCATTAGTTTTACAGCACCCGCACCAGGACAGCTCAGCTCCACCAGGATGTGTATGTGCACGGTGGAGCCGGCTAGCCAACATGTTTGGGAAGGAGGGGGGAAATGTGCGGTACGACCACAGAAGAGTGAGATTAGTCACGGTGGCGAAACACAGCTCCTGGAGAGGATTTTCACTTTCCTCCTAAATACAAAGAGGCTCCAAATATCCCTTCTGTTCGCCGGATAATTACCACCTCCCCGAAAATCACCACAACAACCCAACCATCTATTTTCTCGGGTTTACACCTAATCAGGCCAGCAGCTAGACGGGGACGATGAGGATTTCAGCCGGAGAAAGTGGGGTCAGCGGGGGCAGTGTAGTCCAGATGGTTTGGAGGGAGGGTCGGGAGAGCTCTGGGAACCTGGAGTCTCCTGGAGGGTCAAGAAGGTGAGACACACCAGGTGGAGGAAGTTTACAATGGTAAGTGTGTAACACAACGCTCCCGGTGAAGAAGAGTCAGATACTGATGAAAAAAACAAAACACCTTTTCAACTATCAGTAACACACAGCTTTGCAGCTACCTAAGTACAAATACAAGACACACTGACAGGCAAAATTAATTTCACCTATACTCCCTCTGTATTGAACTAGTGCTGCATCTAAATGCCCTGTTTACCAGCTCAGCAAACACAGCAGTATTACTTATCCCACACATGGTTGAACAAGCTAATGTCACAGTGGTTGAAATGTAAATACATCATTAAAGGCTGAGTTTAGTGACTTTCACAAACACCGATACCAGCAACTGTGAAAGCAATTTCCGTACGTTGTGAATCCTCTCTCGCTTCACCTCTCGCACGTTGCCTCTCGTTTTTACCTCTCTCACTTTGAAAAACTACCCTCTCTAGCACACACACATCCTCCCACACCACTCCTACTTGCCATCAACTTTTTTTTTTTGTACTTTTTTTATTGTGAATTTCTGTGTCTCCCGAGCGAGCGAAGGTGGGGGGGGTGTGCAGGGACTCGGGGAAGAGGGCTGTGAATTCACTCATGGTGCCTGATGAATGAGGGGTGTCTTTGGCTGTTGGGAGAGGAGAGTAGCTTTAATATGTCATTGGAGAGGAGGCCAGGGAGGCTCTAGTGGAGCAGGGTAGGAAGATATGTGAGGGATGGTGTGTGGCAGGGGGAGACCGTTGGGCATAGGGAAGAGTGATGACCATGGAAGACACGAATCCACAGACTGCCTTTGGGTAACACAAAGCTCTCCATTTCATGTGTGCGTGACTGTGATGCACACATTGCAGATTCAGGCAGTGGTAATGACTGCCTGCATCTTTTGTGTATGTGTGTGTGTGTGTGTGTGTGTATTTGCATCAACACAGTATTCTTTATGCTCTATATATTTAAAAATAACCATGGGTGTGGCTCCCTGGTATGCTTCTCTTCTCCCTGGGTGTTCTGTGTCTGCACAGTGACAAATGGCAGAGGTGCAGAGATGTGAGCAGGGAGAACAAAATGTTCGACAAAAAAGAAAAAGCCAAAAAAAGGAGGATAACATCAACCTGAATGATTTTTTTTTTTTAAATTGGAATGTTAGATGTGAGTTTGGACAATGGAAAATTAGACAAAAAACTTTGTTGATTGATTAATTGTAGATTGGCTAATTAACCCCCTGAAACCAAAGATGGGGCAGTGGGTTTGGAATGCACATTGTGTTTTTAAAAAATCCCCAAAATGCCACCAGTAATGAGGGGCAGAGACGCTTGAGATACAAGGAACTACTCATCTACTGTGACATCATAAACAAAATAGTCAAATCTAAGCTTAAAATGGTCATGGTTTATCAAAACCACTTAATGCTACATGCTTCAATCATGCTAAAAATAAAAAAATTAAATAAACAATTTGCTCAAATCAGATCCTGTAAAAACAATTCTGTGCTCTTTGGTGCGACAGGAAAGCCATGAATGACTTCATTGCAATCTCCAGCCTCATGGGAAAAAAAGGTTGTGGCTTTTTTTGCTGAACTGCAGGCTGTGTTTACACAGAGCAGAGACCAAAACGAATGGAAACAAATTAGAGCGATTGAGAGGAAAATCAACCATATTTGATCGATAAAACACAAGCAGCATGGCTCAAGAATGTTACACAAATGAGCAAGTTGTTGGAAGACACATTCAGCAAAGGTGAAATATCTAGAAGTTGTACAAATGTAAATTTACAGCATTTTATCCATTCTTGGTAACACTTATAGCCACTTGGGAAAATGTGCATGTTGACGCCAGGTTTTTTTCAAATTTTAAAGATATAAAATGTTTCTTTTTTTTAAGGATTAATGGTACTTTAATTTGATAGTTCTCTGTACTTCTAGCAATGGTTGTGTTGTTTTCATAGAGGTACATTGCAGTGGAAATGTGACGAGCAAGTAATTTAAAAAAAAAAAAAAAAAAAAACACAAACTGTTTGAGGTTTAGAGGATTTATTATTTGTCTTGCAATCTAGGCTCTTGGAATTCCTAATCAGCCCTTTTCACTATTTTCTGATATTTTATAGACAAATCAAGAAAGCTTTCACCTACAAATTCTTTCCATTTAATATACTTGCCAAAAGAAAAAAAAAAAAAAAAGTCCTGTCTTCTTCAGTAGATACCAAAGAAGACCCGCTTTAGGCTAGCTACAGCAGTCAGCCAGCCGTTATCTCTTAAATAACCGTCAAACCAATATTGCCATGCTGGCAGCAAATAAAGTCTCCCTTTTCTGTCTCCTCAGCTCCAGAGTTCAGAGAACACCAGTGATAACAAATGTGCCTTTTCTCATGAGATAAATTTATGCAGCGACTGAGTCAGAACTTGTCTATCAGCTCCTCTCTGATTGAATTTTACTAGATTATCGTGACCGATGCAGCCTCATAACGGAAGAGTCCTTTAAGCGACGGTGTGTGGCTGCTGGGCATCACTACAATGAGCTGACGAGCTTTAGTAGAATTACTTCATTATGTGCATGAAATCTTATTTATAGGTGTTATCTTACTCTAGATTAAATGCATAAGCCTTTACAGTCTATAACTTGTCGGAGCAGAGCTGTGGCGCTGAATGTGAGCAGTTTGGAGTGAGGACCCTGCTGCCCAATGCTTGTGGTTTCTGTTTACCACACTCTCCTCCATTATGCTTGACTCTGTGTGCCTCACCTAAACACTGCAAACTGTAATTCAGCTAAACACTGCATGTTGTATAACAGGTCCTTTCAGAGCCACATCCATGGCCAGTCAAAAAAAAAAAAAAAAGCTTTCTCATTTTTGTGCAAAACTCTGAAGAGGACACAACTGACTAGACCTGTATCTGGGCAAACATGACAGCATAGAACAAGATTTAAAGCTGTGAGTTATAAGGCAGACAATAATCTATTATTCAGACTGTTCCCTGTGGATTTTTTTTTTAGTGGGCAAAGGTGCGCCGTCTTGTGCATGTGGATGACGTGAAACACAGCGGTGTCCCACGAGTCAACAGAACAACAACAGCCTGCGCTATAAAGCCAGTTCAACGCATGCAGGGAACCTTTTCATTATCTAAGCCTAACAATTGGAAAAGCAGTCACACAAAGCTGCTAAGTCCACCCAGGATGACCGTGCTCATATGAAAGGAGCGGTGTCGGCGCCATGTGATCAATCGCAAACGTGGACACGTCTACAGCTGCACGTCCCTTACAAGAGGAATAAATTATAATCCCATATTAATTTTAAAATATAATACAGGGTGAAAAAAACACCAGTGCTGCTGCAGCCAAAGCCAGAAAGGAAAGCTGGCAACAGGCTTATCAGTATCACTGCTCCTTCATTAAGTAGATCTGACTATAAATACAAATTCCATTGAATTAATGTGTTCCTTGGATCTATCCCATTCTTATACGACAGTTTTAGCCTTATTCTTTCAGCTGCAAACCTGCTGGTGCTAAACGGTCTTCAGAGCAAGTAAAGAACAAACATAAAAACATCATTCAAACCGGTAAGTGGGCTTAATGCAAATTTTATGAGGGCAACTAGTACAAAGCTTTAGTACCTTATCAGTCTCTGTTTTGGTATTATCTTGCTATACAATAGAAGAATTAAACGGCTTTGAAACGTCTCGCAGTCGACTGAATAAAAACAACAAAGCGAGGAAGCCTCAACCGTACATCAATCTCCAGATGTCTCTCTTTTAATCTACACTTGTCATATCTGTGCTCGTCTGAGAAAGAAAAAAGGTTTAGATGATCAGCATCTTGCCTTCCTTTCACAATCTGTGCACAGAGCTTGACAGGATGCACAAACAGACATGTGATCAGTCAGTAGGTGATGTTTTTCTACACGTTTATCTGTTATCTGGAACATGAACTGATCCAGAGCAGGTTGAGGTGTGTGGGACAAGTTACCATCCTGACGCAACCCAGTGAGAAGTGAATCACCCTCGTAACCCTGAAAACCCAGAACTTAATCTTTTGTTACTTCGCTAAACCCAAATCCTGCTTCTTAGCATTGAGATATAGCAACATATAGTAATGTCCTTGAAATCCAACAAAGCAGCGGCAGGGAAGAAGCCGACCGCGTGCAATAAAGATGGATGTAAACAAAGCCGGATTGAAACTTACCGAAAAAACCCAAAAGCATTCATCATGTTTGTCAGAACTCAAGGATACGTACAATGCATTTTGAAAACTAACAGTGGATGTAAACATCACTTCTGTTTGTTTACAAGGAAACACCAGAGGGTACCTTTAAGAGAAAAAAAATACTATACAATATGGATGAAAGCCGGGTGGGTGTTTTCAGGCGTGCAACACTGAGCAGTATGTGGCAGTCTGCAGCAGTAACGTTTGGAGCTAAACTAAATGATGTTTCGTTTGTTTTTTGTTCCTTTTTTTCTGGTGAAACGCGTTCACCTCTCCAGGCCTCTACGAATCCTTCAAATTTAATATCTTGGAAATAAAAGTAACAACTCATGTGCACGCTAAAACAATAACCCGTCACAAGGGATTGCAAAATACACAACGGGACCCTGCTGAAGAAAGACCTCGGAGCTCACCTGCACACTTGGTCCTGCTCACCAGAGGAGGACCGGGAGGGCCGGTTCCTCCCTCTCCGGGCCGAGTCAGCAACACGCTGATGTGGTACTCCGTGTCCGGATCCAGGTGCCACAGCTTGTAGGTGACCATGTTGACTCCGTGCACCTCTGACCACGGAGACTGGCTGGCGCGGTACTCAATCTCCTTCCTGATAATGGGGCCATCTCCCAGGATAGAGTTGGTGTTGAGCTGGATGATCAGGTAAGTGGAGCCGGCACGCAGCAGCTGGGGCGGCGCAATGGGGGACGGCGGTACTGTCGGAGGAAATGAAAAGTAGCAGGGGTTTTGTTTTTTTTTTTCAGTTCAAACACATGTTTGCATTTGCTGCTGGGAGTGCAACAGTTTCGGGAGGTGAACTTGTGGGTATTAAATTTATTAATCAATTGTATGCAAACAGATTTCTTACTATTTTAAAGCTCACTGAGTCTTAAATGAGTCTCTGGGGACTGCAGGATGTGAGCAGGTCAAACTGTGTTCAAATAGCAGATTAGTCATACCTATTAACCAGGCATTCAGAGCCTTGCATAAATTTTGACTAAAGTGGAGAGTGGAAAAACAGCTGTGCATGCAATACATTGAATGTGATGATCTCTGTAACCGAGGGATTATGGGCCGTATGCCTTTTTCTCTACAGCTGGTCACCGTGATGAAAGAGGAGACTCTGCATCACTGTCAGTAAAGATTGCCAAACCAAGAATTAATCCCGGAGCCCACCGGTCAAATGTCACTTACTGGCAGATCCAAGTCACCGAACAATTACACGGGCAACAGAGTGAGCGAGGAATGGGAATGCAAAAGAAACGAGGACAAAGCATGGGAAAAGATCACACTTAGATCTGTGGCTGTGACTAATCCCTCATTCCTGCAGAGGCTCCTCAGTCTTTTATGGCCCTCCTCTCAGTGGGGTATCGACATTACCAGAATCTCACCTCAACTCTCTGCTGCTTCCCGTAGCCTGCAGCGGCTCATCTTTGGCCTGCCAATGACTACATCCATAACAAAAAGGGCAAATTTAGGCCACAGGCAAGCAGCCAGTGGAAATAAGTTCAAAACAACTCCCTCTTTTCTTTTCAGCATAAAAACTGCAGGTCTGCTAAATAAGTTTTTATCTGTTCATCTCTTTTATTTCACCCTTTATTTTTGTTCTCAGTACATCGATAGTTGTCTTTCTGTGAGTATTCAAAGCTGTTCTCAAACCAAACATTGCTCTCAATACTGTTTAATTTAAAAAAAAGTTACAGTCAGTTGACTTGAATGCAACTTAGAGCCGGACGTGACATCTGCTCGTGGTGCAGCTTTGCCAAAAATAACATCTTTGTCCTGATTATTAAAAAAAAAAAGGAAGAAGTACGGACAGCAACAACCACACAGACACAATGGTGCTTATTTGCTGTGAGTGTGAGCACATTAAATGGGATTTCATGGCCTTCGATCAGCGTATTCACCGACTCCTGGTTTACTGGCAGCTGCTGGTTAGAAGGTTTCATAACAGTTTAGCAAAAAGGCTCCATTCTGTGCAGCAGCAATCAGCCTATAACAATACCGACATGAACCCATGCTTCCACATCAATGAAAGGGATTTATTTCATGTCAAAATAGAAAAAGATTGCGAGTCTACAGCCATGTGAGCAGCTCTATGAGGCCCAACGTAGACACAGCAGCGTTAAAATACCAACATTTTAGTGCCAGCATGCTCACTCTGACGACCCTGATGCTAAGCAGGTATAAGGTTTGCTCAACTGGTAGCGTTAGCATCCTAATACTTTCTAATTACCTCAAAATAAAGTTTAGGCTGTTGGAGAGGCCATTATGCGTTCAGTCCGGTCAATTTCTAGCCAGATGATGGCATTAGAGGAAAACCTAATATTGTGCCTCTTTCCAGCAAAATAATGAAAGCCTCATATGTCCTAAGCTTGTGTTTCAATTTTCAGCTGGAAAATACTGCAAAGATGGTTCATTTCACCATGAGTGCATAACCCCTGGTTTTAGCCCTGCTATAAATTGGCTGTTTCAGTGTTTGTAGCCTCAAAGGTCCCATATTGTGCCCTTTTCAGCAAATTCATCAGTCTCATATGTCCTCACGGTGTCTCTTGGTTTTTTAGCTCAAAATGCTGAAAAATTTTAATACGACTGTATAATTCCTGGTTTTAACCCTGTTTTAAACGAGCTGTATTTCTTTTATTTAAAAAAAGCAATCAGATGCTGCTGCTCCCGCCCCTTCAGGAAAAACACACTGCCTGCATCTTTGATTGACAGCTGGAGATGGATGACTGGTTAGTTGGGTGTGAGGTAGCACCTGGGTGGAATTCCTACTGGCTGAGATGGGTGGTAACTAGTTGTGGGGGGGACTTAAGGGACAATATGTCTTCATATCTTAACAGCTTTTATTTTTAAGTTTATAACAACCACAAAACAGGATTAAAATGGATCGTATGGGACCTTTAAATGCAGCTGGATTGCGACTGCCCCCGTCAGGAAGAAGACTATCTCTGTTATCGACAGCTCAGAGCAGAATAGCACAGCAGCCAACTGAGAGATCATTTTATACTAAAATATCTATGAATTCATGGCACAGTCATTGTTTCTGACTCGTGTTTTGCAAGTTTGTCAGACGACGTTGCAGTTAAAACATCTGCAGAGCAGCAGCTTGGAAATGGCTCTAAAATGACTGCTGGGTAACATGTAGTCAGTCTGCTATCTGACAACAGAATAGGGAGTTGTTTATAGGGAGTTAAGCTGAATTAGGATACAAAATATGTGAGCACAGAGAGTAGGAGGGAAGCAAACAGAAGTTGACCACAACAGATGACACAAAACACACCCAGTCTGAGTCTATTGGCTTGAAATCAGCTGATACATGTTAGTATTAGCAGAGGCAACTCTAAAAAGTAAATATAATAATTCTGAATCGCTTATGTCCCAAGCAGCTGGCAGCAAGGGGACAAGTAATTGTTAGCTCGATAATTATTGGTTCCTCAATGTAGATACTGAATAAATTCTGACTGGCTTGTGAAGCTGGATGGCTGGTTGAGCAAGGATAGAGGAATGGAAGTAGTGAGCCTCTTTATTTTCTCACAAACATTTAACTTTTTCAGACACACAAAACACAAATTCATCCTAAGGTGAACATGAAAATCTGTATTAAATCAAAAAAAAAAAACCCCTCATGGTGGTGCTGGAGGAAAAGTTATGGAGATTTTAAAAATCGGCAGGCCTCCTCATCGGGGTGTAAAATTTCATGGCGATCCATCCTCCGGTTGGTGAGATATTCTAGTCCGTGGTGGACCAAACCAACAAATCGATCGAACGGCCAAACATCCACAGAGCCCTGCTGCTAGCACAGCTAAAAAAAACTTGTTCTGTCTCTTGCCCTTGCATCGGGCTCAGGCAGCACACAGCAGAGGACAAAGGGATTGAGAATCTTTCACATCCTTATTTCCCTTTCTCCTCTTCACTTTGCTGAGGGCTGGAGTTTGTTATGCCATCAAACCATTCCACAGGCATGTCATTACTACGCTGTCAAAGTGGTGTCAGGCTGTGGGGTTGGAGTGAGTAATGGGAGTGAGGTCACTATCTGTGGTACATGATATGACAGGAGCTGCAGGAGTCCAAGTCAAGTGAACAGCTTTTTGACATAGAGCTGAAGAACTCAATATGGCAGTCTGTCTGACAGCTCAGAAAACAACACATGGCAGACGGAGAGTGCACGCACCAGTCATGTGAGTCAAACAATTCCTGATAACAGAATTTTGTAGAAATACATTAGAAATAGGTGTCTGTGATTTTTTTTTTTTTTACAATTGCGCAGAAAATGACACCCTCTGGGTAACAGTTTCTTCTTTAATTCACCCTTGAATCCCACGCTGTAATCAACCGTGACCAAGAAAAGCAGAAAATCATACACTATCATAAAAACAGCGGGAAAACTGATTGTCGGGATGACAGAGGCAGGAGGGGAGGGAGGAGTGAGACCAAAAAGACAATAACAAGAGATAAAGAAAAGAGAGCCTTTTTTACCTTTGACGACGAGTTCAGCGAAGTTGGAGACCCCGGAGCCTCTGGGGGACTGTGTGACGCAGCGGTAGAGGTCTTGATCAGCTCGCTGCACGCTATCGAGCTGGAATGACACCACGAAGCGCCGGTGACTCAGGTGCTTGACCGACGCCATTGTTAAAATGTCCCCATTGTGTCTCTGGAAAGCAGGAAATGACGGGGTCAGAGAAACCAGGACGGGTCATCGTGTTGTTCTTCTTTTACACTCGAGTATTTGTCATTTCTTCCAGCGTAAAAGCTGCAAACACAGACTAACACACACACATGTGAAGATGTCCTGTGCAGCTCAAGAGTTCTTTTAAAGCTTGATCAAGTCCCAGTTTGGTTAATTGGATCCAATTTTTAGCATTTTTCTGTGGATTTTTTTTTTTTTAAACAAATTCCCGATCAAATAAATTGATTTAAAACGCACTACTTACTCTGTAACCACCAATCTGTTATCTAGAGCAATGACTTACCCATAACACTGATTGGCTACACTTCACAAGTCCATGTTGAAAGGTTCTCTTTTATTCAAAAATATGTAAAACATCAATAAACAGAGGCGTTTCAACAAAGTTTTGTGTTGGAGTTACTCTCAGTTTTGACACCGTGATCAAACCGATCTGCTAATGAGTCACTATAATTACTAATATTTAGTATCGGTCATGAAAAAAGACATATTATTCAACCCCGTTTTATATTTCCCAAGTGTTCGGTTTTCATAAATTTGCGAGATTTACAACGGACAGATGTGAATTAAAGGCTGAGGCATCCCGACTGTTCCTCCCGACTATGAGTCAAGTTGTCAAAACACAAGATCTCTCATGTTCCTTAATCCAGCTTGATGAAGTCTCTTCATTACGCCCTCCCTGCCTGCATGCCAAATGCCCACATCATTCAAACTCTGCAGCTTGTAATGCAGGCCTGAAGGACAGCAGAAGACCACTATTCACATGCTGAGTAGCGCTCGCCACGACCACAAACTGACCTTCGGTGGTAGAATTTGTGGTGCGTCTCTTTAAGTTATGGAGGAGCTTTAAACCACAAGTCTAAACAGATTCTATCAAATAGTGCTTTGTAGGGATTGACTGAGTCTAACAGTTGTCAGATCTGATATTCAGCTTTTTTTTTGATTGATGTTTCCAGCTATCAGTATTTTTTTAAACCAATTCCTGAGATAATAAATTTAAAAATGCAGTATTTTGTCTCTATCTGTAGTCATTGTTCTGTTCTAAGCCCCGCCCACAGCACCGTTTAATTGGCTGTACATCATGAGTAACAGCCAATCAACACTCAAGAACAAATGCTGAGAAGCTTTGATTAATTAAACATATAGAAAACATATATAAACAAAGGCATGTTGACCAAGTTTTGCGCTGCTGTTTCTGACACCAAGATGCTAATTTTTTCTGCAAATATTTATATCAGTTCCAGGCACTGCTTATCAATCTCCTTGATTAATAATAATCAGTATTAATATCAGCCCTGAAACACCACATCGGTCAACTGTTATTGGTTCTCAGAAGACATGGGAAGAGCCAGATAAACCTGTTTGTAGGAAAAAATTGGACAAAAAAACCCAAAAACAAAACGTCCTTGTGATTTATGATACCTGATCGGTTCTCTGTAATTAATGTTTTAGTGCATGACTGTATGATATAGAGTCCCCAGAGTATGTGTCTAATAATATAGAGTGAAAAAAATATATAGTTTAGTTCTTTCCTTCCTTGTTTTGATGCTGCGTCTATCTGCCCTTGGACACAGTTACTGCCCAGTGAACTGCCGGGACTCTACGCTAATAAATTAACAATACACACTTAAATTATTGCTATCTGGGTCAGTTTAAATTAGAGCTGTGTGATTAAAAAGGAGGACTGTCCAACTGTGTACAATTTAATTAGAGTTGCAGGACCATATAACTGATTTAATCACGCAATATGACAATCAGACATGCTTTAATAAAAACAAATGAAATCTTGTTAAAACAATAGCGATTATGGGGGTAATACATGTCACGAGCATCCTCCCCTAATGGAGCCCATCCACAACCTCGGTTGTCCTCGACACGCAATGTTATTGAACCAAAACATTTAACTGCTTAGCATTATGAATTGAGAGACAGATGGGCTTTAATGCATCAAGGTTTAATCAGTTTATAGGCTAATAGATGAACAGCAGCGTGAAGAGTTCTCAGTTTGGTATAAATCTAAAAAGACAGCGGAAATAGCTGCTCGTTTTAGCATGAAGCATCGGACGTCAAAGCAGAAACATAAACAGAAGTGAGTCGGGGCAGAAAGTGAGAAAACTGAAAAATAGTGACGGAGGGGGGGAGAAAAAAAAAAGGGAGAAAAACTGGGGGAGAGATGGAGATTCGAATGAATGTTGCATGATGCACCTTGCTGTTGCACTGTGAGAAGCATTTCTCACATTGTTCCACACCATTAAAACCACTAGCATCTGTCAAGTCCACACTGTATCAACAAAACACATTGGAGCTGACACTTTTTCTCATGTTTTCAGGCCATTCGCTTTGTGTGAAATGGTGGACATGAATCGCGATACTCGTACTTTTGATCTGTCAGTTCTAACAGAATCCAAAACATGTCAGCACGCTGAGATTAACAAGGAGACCTCTGGGTTACGCGAGGCCATCTGGGCTTCTGTTGTACTTCTAATTTGGGGCCTTCAAAAAAAAAAACCACAGACCACACAAACCTCGAACGAAGCCTTTGCAAACAAACTCATAAACACAAAACCACTGATTAGGGTTAAGCAAGGAGCAAATCTAGTGACCACAGGAAAAAAAAAAAATCTTCATCATACGCTCAAGCATGTTTTCTATCTCCTTTGTTGCCACCTCGCTATAGAGGAGGAGGCAGGAGGAATCAGGATAACTCAAACACGCACGTGATCACTTCATGTTACATAAACAATCTGGCTGTAGCTAATTGGCGAGGAAATGACAAAACGATCTGTAAATCTGGCAGGCGTGTGCAGCCAAGACGGTGCTGCAGCTGCTACGGCAGACACAATCAACACAAAAGGGCACATAAACAGAAAACAACAGCGAATTTCAGCAACGTGAAGAAAAACAGCCGCGCGCAGTGCAGACAGGAAGACGCCGAAGAGGACAGCTGAAGGCAGAGGAGAGGCAGGGGAGGAAGGCATCGCGACTGGCCTCCAGATCTCATTACGGCAGGCACGTGTATGGTTATGCCAGCTAATTACCCAAAGCGTTTGTCCTCATCCGTGTGTTGTGACCAAATGGGTGGTTTGATAAAGCGTTCAGAGAGGTGTGAACGAGGACGCTCCAATTACCTAAATCACACGTCTCCCAGTTTCAAACAATGCTGTGGAATTGCCTAGGTCAACCATGATTAACACTTGCTGTAGTGGGTGGTAAGATGTTGGCCAAAGCGTTGAATGTGTGGCCGCACAGTAATTGCAGCATCAGATGGGAAAAAAAAAAAAAAGCCCTAAAGCACAATGACGTCTGGTTCTTTAATCGGGCCACATGAAGAGATGGATTTTAAAACTCCCCATCAGAGGTAACGACTCGCCTAAACCTTCACAGAGCAAAGCCATCCTAGATGAAAAGACACGATATCTAAAACGCAGCGCATGATAAGAATACGTTCAGCAAAGAAAGCCATAAACATTATAATACTATAAGCAATGCAACTTTTCAAAGGCGGTGGAGTGAAGAGGCTTCAAGGCCTTCGTAGCCCTCAGAGCGCTCAACCTCTGCCTACCGACTTTATTTAAACACGTCTGGGACATATAATGATTCACAAACAGAGACAACCTTGCTGCACTGGTTATTTAGGGTAACAGCCTCCACTTAAAATGCAATTATGTAAGTAGTAAACTGCACTTAATTAGGATTTGGAATGAAATCTCAAACCTAATGATTTACCTCAAGTATGGATGAGTCGCTAATTGGGCATACCGAGGCTATACTTTGACCACTCATTGAAGTGACTGGCAAAACTTTCCATTGGAAATGACTGCAGTGTTTGTAGTTGTTTGTGTCTTTTTCAGTCTGGCTGTTTTCCTCCTTTGTAGGAGGAGTGTGAAGCCTTTTACACGTCTGTGCCCAGAGGCCTTTTTGTCTCATACGAGGTGCAATCAAAAAAAAGTTTTATGACTGTGTTTATAAAAGAGCAAAAACCACATCTAATTTAAATTTGGCCTTCTTCCCTTTCGACAGTAGTCTCCTTGTGTGGCCAGACACTGCTCCCAGTGCTCCTGCCTCGCTTGGAACGCTCCCTGGAAGTCCGAGCGCCATCTGCGATGTGTGCTGCATCTACTCCACTGTGTCAGAGAGACGACACTTTAAGCTGAAAGTTCGTTTTGGAGAAGGATGAGGTTGAAGGGAGCCAAAATTCGTGAGTTCGGCCGGCGGGGAGCAACAATTGTGTTGTGAACAAAAAAAAAAAACAAGTGCCTAATCACTCCACATGCACTGTGGGTGGGAGCACAGCACAGTTTGAGCACCTACATGCCATTGCCTCAGTTCAGTTCATCGGTGCCGAACGTTCTCCCTCAGGACGTTACAATACAACTGTTTGTTGACTGCCAGACCCCGTGGGACGAATTCAGGATGCGCAACCATGTTAATGCCGAAGAAAACAACAATTTTCTCTTGATGCGGTCCTGACCTGATGCATGCTCTCCGGTGTTAGTGACAGCGGGTTTCTCCACTGCAAAGACTGCTGCTGTTTCTTCTTTTGGTCGTTGCCGGACTCACCTCAAATCACCAGAGACAATCGCTGACGTACGGGTTTGCTCATCCAGACTGTCGACTGACACAGGATGTGATGTCTGCTCCAGCTTGAGATGTGAAACCACAAACGCTCACATACCAGCGATCACATTAACTCACGTAACACGGGTTCAAGGAGTCGAGCTTTACTGTTTACACCTGCTACATGGCGTGACTGTGCAACGCTACGTGCAACAGGAACAGTCTTGGAACTTTTCGATCGCACCTCGTAATCTGTCCGTGACCTGGAGAACCTCTACGTTGTGGGGTATTCCAGTCAATCGATGTGAAAAGTACAAAAATCTTTCTTTTTGTTCTGTTGACCGCGCTGAAGGTAGCTCAAGCACATTTATGTCGGACACTCGGATTCCTTCAGCTATAAACTCTACCATTAAACCACTGACCTCCAGCAGGAACTTCTCAGCCTCTGATGCCCTTCCAGCAGCAACACACTGGAAAGTGGCATTTTGCCCAGCATTGACCTCCTCGTCTCCTAGCCTGGAGAAGTGCGGCGCCTTATCTAAAGAGACAGACAGAGAGAGAAACACTGTGAGATCAAAAGACTCCATTACCTTGCAAGCGTTTGCAACGCCATTCAGCCGCAGAATAAGACACTTTTTTTTTTAAATCAAGGTTTTCTTTTGCAACTACATAAACAGGCATTCAAGCAGTTCTGTTTGAGACAACAGCTGGCTCCGTCAAGTGTTGGTTTCTAATTAACTGGATATTGCCAACAGTCACCAAAAACAGAAATTAGCAACTGATTTTTTTTTTGACAGAACATTCTTCATCAGTTGCTATTCAATCCGGTGCACTTTATCCTCTTTAAAGTTAATGAATAAAGGTTTATTATAATATTGTACTGGTGTATAATTATTACAATTCTTCATTGTTTTTCTTCAAATTTCCCTTTATTTTTAATTTGTTCAGAGCAGTTTGCAAAAAGCTGCAGCTGCAAGGAAAAAATAATATGAAATAACAAAGAGAAGGGAAACGAAATAAAAGACAGCTTTCGGTTTTAACAGAAAGTTTTATTTCTGCTTGTCTTTGTGTCGTTGTGTTGACAGTGGAAGATAAAAAATTTGTTGCACATTTGATTCCATTTCCAGAAAACTCAGACATGTGCCGCATATTCATCACAACATTAAAATACAATGTGACACCGGAATAAACGAAAGCGCTGAAATTTATAGCCTTATTGAGATGAAAAATCCGCGAATGCAAATGTGCCAAAAGGATCACTCAGTGTCCAGTACCGAAATAACTTGCGAACGAAACAACATCAGATCAGAGGCAATCTATAGACGAGCAGAATGTGGGAGGGAATCTGTGGAAGAAAAGCCACAGAGTAAGCATCAGCCCTCCACATTTTGACTAATAATGTCCCAGTATGCCGTGCGGAGCTGCCAATGAGTCAGTGTGTGGGAGTAGCCCTCTCACCCAATGCCGTGATTAACAATAGGGCAGCGAGGAACCAAACCCCTGCAGAGCCAAATCACTGGGTAAATGCCGGCAGCGCTGCCTGCCATCTCTGAGAAATGGGGAAGGACAAGTCGACGTGTCGCTCCGAGTGATTGACAGGAAGAAATGGCAGAGCAACTGCGAAGCCGAAGCATCGGGGAGACGCAAATGTTTGGATCTCACTCATCCCCTGCTTGGTTCTGCATAACGCCGTGCGGGGAGGAAGACGGCAATTTCTTGATCTTGTTTGTGTACAGTAAGTAAGAGAGAGAGCGCTTCCATTTGTACCCAACATGTGGCCGTGTTTCCTTTGAGCGACTCTCCTTCCTAAGGTTAATTCATAATTCATGCCCGAGAGCCAAATATACAGTAAACAAACACCAAAAAACGAGTGTGGAAGGAAAAGAACAGGCCCTACAGTTGGCAAGAACTTCGGTGTTATACAGCTAAATGTGTCAGATCTTATCCTCAGGTCTCTTCGGCGCGATAAATATTTCATCGGACTGCAACACTGGTTTCAGAGTCAAAGTCTAAAACTCGGGAGAATACAACAGAAATGTCAGCCACGCTTTAACCAGAATTCAGAAAAAGGAAATTGTTGAGAGTTTTATTTTTTATTTTTACAACCCCACGCTTAACTTTGACTTTTCACCACTTCGTCTTTTTCTTTCCCCGCACTCGTCGCTGCCAAGTAATGTCGGCTGGCCATGTGCCACATCATAAGGCAGGTCTTGATGAGAGTCTTAATTATTTAATGGCCACAGTGGGAGCATTCAGGAGACGCCATCTGCCGCGTCTTGGAGTAACAGGGTGGCTGACTGGGTGGTATACAGTCGGGGTACAAACCAGTCTCACAGCCAGTTCATTTAATTAATTTAGTGGCGGCATCCTCAGTTACACGACTACGAGAAGTTCATCCCGACTACAATCACAGCTCTCTTGTGAAAACAATAGGGGGGGGATATCAAAATATAACAAGGGAGATAAGAGAGATCCCCACGAGAGAAAAATATCCTTCAAGCTGGTGTCAGTTGCATAAGTCACTTTAAAGCAGGGGAGGACTATGGGTGTTAAATGTACTATGAGCTGACAAGAGCCTTTGTGTTCAGCAGTGGGCTACACAGGGAGTGTGGAAGTGACACTGAGAGACTTGGTCCAGGTATTAAGCTCGAGGGTCTTAGTGAATATGTTTTACACAAGGTCCTCGGGGGGCTGACAACACACTGAACTGCTACCCTCGCTTTTTTTTCCGCCACCGACACACACACAAAAAAAAAGTCCTCCGCTGCAGGGAGCCGCCCCCCACAAAAAAAAAAAAAAAAAAAAAGAAACCCTGCCCTGAAGAGAAGGCATTTTCATAAAGCTTCAAAAGTGTAGTGTTTGATGGGAAAAACCCTTCTGCACAAAGTGGCTGCACTGCACTTCCAGTAAAGCCGGAGAGCATGAAAATGTAAAAAGCCTTCAGTGGGTGAATTCAAGATTATACTGATTAACCCCGGCTAGCTTTTCAGCGATGTGAAAGAATGCAGAAATTTACATCAGATGTCTTGAATAACACTATTTGAAAAGAATTAATCCTTCTGAAATGATTGTAGAGGAGTGCATCTGCAGAGGAAATAAAAATCTGTTCTGATATTGAATCTTTCTCATGTGGCGTAGCACCGGCAAAGGCATCCAAAATACTTTTTTTTTTTGCTTTGGATAACATTTCGAGCTTTGTGGCTTTAAATGGTCAAACAAATTAGCTGTGTGGCCTTATGTGGCGGCAAGAACCGCAAGACGCTGAGCGCCTGGTTTTGCTCAGCATCATCCGTCCTTGCTGGAATATTTCCACACAACTGACATTGTGTTTCCTTTTAAAGCTCCTTCTCAGTATTTCTGTCCTGTTCCTCCTTCATTTTGCTGTGTGGACCTCGCACGTCGACAAACACTGTGTCTTGTCAAAAAAAAAAAAGCCCCCACCCTGACAAACATCCACTCAGTTTATCCAAGAATCCCTAAATCAGGCTGTACCGGATCGAGTTCTCTTGTAAATTAAAAATGAAAGTCGTGCAAGTTTTCTTTGTGGGGAAAAAAAAAAAAGAGTTGCAGCATGTGTTCGATTTAATCTTCCCACACATCGCAGTGCAGACAGTGGAGTGATACATTGTGCAGCCCTGTGATTAACAAATAAATTTGGCTGTCAAACCGCAACTCCAGGCAAAACGACAGGTGCGTTTTCAGGTGTAAGGGAGTGTTGGCATTTGGGTGTCGCTGTGTTTTAATAGCGCCGCTGTTGTCACCGGGGCGCCTAGAGCCAAACTGCAGCTCTAATAGAAAAGGTCAATCAGCCATTACTCTTCTCTTCGTCCTATTTATGTTTCACGCTGCTTTAAAATACATTTCACCCCCTCACCAAAAAATTATTAAATCTTTCATTCTCGGAGCACCTTGTGAAATTGCAATCCATTGTCAGAAGAGGCACTTACAGCAGGGATAGTTGAGCACCATGATGTCATCTATGGCAATGTATCCTCGCCGCTCCCTGGAAACCGTCGCCTCAATCAGCACCTGCGAAAGTGAAACACGAATAATGAAAGACGGCCAAAGCGTACACATGTGACTGACCTAAAGCCCTTGAAGCTTAAGTGTAAGGAGCAATTTTCGAAAGAACACCGAGTTCAGCGCGAACTCCGTCGCTTTTGTTCCCTTTGGTGGCAGACGCATTAATTACAAACGAGCCCATCACCACATAGTTGCACATCTGCTCGCCCAAAACAAACCACAAAAAAAAACTAGACAACCAGAGAAATAAGAGGAAGACAGAAACATAAAAACAGAGAGATAAATTTCAGTCCTCGGGGCCGTGAGATATCACTGCTTTATCGGGGAGCACACAATGTGGTGCCTGAGTCATGAGCCCCATTCTACATTCAGGGCGCAGGCTGCTGTGAAGCCATAACAGCAGATAATACAGCTTGCACAGGGCCACGAGACTCGAGGGAGGACAAACTTCCACGGCGTCCTATGGAACAATAAGCTGGATGAGCGGTGGGCTCTCATGAAACCTAATCAATATCAAATCACCATCCTCAGTAATAGTGAGAGAGTTATGAGACGCTGGGGTGATGTTTGTTTTCGCAGCACCAAGGACAGTCTTCCATCCACATGTTTGATCAAAGGCCAGCTTTGAGTTATTGTTTCTCATAATCCTCTGGCCAAATGATTACAACATGCTTGCTATCACTGGGTCTGGCCCGCACACACTCAAGCTACGTTATATCCTGAAAGCTACTTTAAATGTGTGTGTCTGATGTCTGTCTTTATACGTAGCTGAAATACGTTGCGCAAGATTGGAGCTTAATTCCTCTCAAGGTCAGATAGCAGAATTAAAACTGGTTCTGTGTTGTGTAACTATTACACTGGGGAGTGTTTTTTCTGTATAGGTGCCAACATGATAGGATAGTTTCAGCACCACTAAGAAAACTAGACTTGTTTTTTGTTGAACATTGAAGTTCTTTTTGGTTGTAGTTTGATCAAAAACATCCCTGAAGATATCCATAATTTGTGATCTCATGCAGATATCAAGACATTTTTTTTTATTTTTATTATTTCTTCAAATTCCATCTGCTGAATGTGGATTTGGGGAAACTAAAAAGTGGACTTCAAGGAGATCAAGAAACTTTTTGAGACATAAGGAATGGATTTTTAAATATTTTATGTGCTAAGGGAAGTCTTGACTTTGTTTGGGAATTTCAGTCTTTGCTGTCCACAGATGACGTGGTTCTACTGGTTTCCTCGGACCTCCAGCGCACGTTCAAGTTGTTCAGAGTGCGAGGCAGCCGGGATGAGAATTGACACCTCCCAGTCTGACCTACTGGTTCTCTGCTGGAAACCAGTGGTTTGCTCCTTTTGGTTTGGGGTTAAGTTGCTGCCCCCAAACAAAGAAGCTGGAGTATCTCTGAAGGGTCTTTTCACAAATGATATTAAAATGGAGCAGATGGATTCGGTGCAGCACAGCAATGTCCCGGTAAGAAGGAGCTGAGCTGGAAGGCAAAGTTCTCAATTTACGAGTCTTTTTACGTTCAAACCCTCAACTGTGCTGATGAGCTCTGGGTGACTGAACTCGAACATCTGGAGGGAGCTTGGAGCCAGCAGAGTTGGTTCAACATCTATATTAGCATGCCTCCAGAGCATCTTTCTACGAAGGTTTTACTCGGCTCACCCAACTGGGAGGAGACCCTGAGGTGTATGCAGAACCGGTCCAGGGATTACCTATCTCATCGCCTTAGGGTTGCCCAGAAACTAGAAACATTATTGGAGAGAGGGATGTCTGAAATGTCTGCTTCGAGTCATTACGAAGTGTAAGTGGATGGATGGATGGATGGATGGATGGATGGATGGATGGATGGATGGATGGATGGATGGATGGATAGGTGAAAGTCTTGAGATTCTAAAGATAAGGTAGCTTCCCTTGCTATTTTTGATATTAGCACTTATGCACTCTGTTTCTGAGCTAATACCAAAATGATACTTCACAAAACCTCACTCTAAGGGCTATTTATGGTCTTCTTCAAAACTCTTCCTCAAAACTTTCTGACACACAACAGTGGAAACGTGGCATCAAGATTATCTTCGCCACGACAATCCTGTTGTGTTTGAACACCTAATTTAAGAGTCACAACAACATCTTCACGACCTCTGGCCCGAATTTCAGCCTTCCGCAGTCAGCAGGACGGAGCTAGCCCACCTCGCTGGACTTAGAAAGGAAGACATCAACTGGTGTGACAACAAACCAAACCATGCATGACCCCTGAAGGCACCTTTACAGACAGATCGTGATGGGATGTGAGGAGATTGGGGTCAGCTTAAGAACCTCCAGACAGAACGAGACGGCAAAAAGCCAGGCATGCGGAGAGGGGAGGCTTGAAGCTAACAGAAGGAGAGGGTGGAGAGGAGAGGTGAAAGGGAGAGCAGGAGGAAAGGTCTGGGCTGCTGGGTCTCCCGGAGTTGGAGAGTGACCCTGCTCCGTCTACAGCCGGCTGCTCTACTCAGGGACGAACACTGAGGCTAATCTCCTTCTGCCAGAGTCAATTTTCCTGTTTGTTCCCAGACGCCACTGGAACCTGAGCTGGAAGACGCGCCACCGCTTTCAAAAAGTGATATTAACATGTCCTGCTTTCATCATTTCCACTTTTCCGGCCCGCTTTTAGGTCATCTATCTTCTTAAAAGCCTGCGCAGGATCCGCTTCTCTTATTTCATTATTTCCATCTTTCAATTTTTCATCGTCTTTTTTTATTCCCTTCGCCGTCCATCGCTTTCCACTCGCTTCCTCCCATTCTTCCTTCAAGGGCTTAAAATTAGCAGCAATGATTAAAGCACAACATCCTCCAGTACGTTGAACTGAATTAGCTGTGTAAGCACACACGGCCGCGCCATTAGACTAACATCAAAATTAGCCAGAAACACTGATTAGGTCTAATGGTGTACAAGGAAGAGAAAAAATGTCTTGAACGTCTAATTGTAGGTGTTTTTACTCTCCGCTCAGCTAAAGTGCAGAAGAGATTGATTGCTGGTTAATCCACAGTCTTCTTAGCCATTAGGAAAGGAGGTTATTAAGAGGGAGACATTCGGAGCATTTGTTTCAATAAACAACCTTCCCTGATTTGTATTGAAAGCCACTTTCCCAATGAAACTTCCCATATGCCTGTACTTTATTCTAATGAGCTGTTACTTTACTTTTACAAGATAAAAACGCAGGGATATAAAAAAAATAAATAAAAGTGTGACGCGCAGTGATTTACGGCCGGTATAAAATGCACATTACGAGAACATATTACATTACCCTGTAATATTGGCTTTTAGAGGCAGTTGTAATGTATACAAATCACAAGACGATTTATTCGACCCTCGAAACCGGCTTTTACATTTCTGCAGTCGGGAGACACCATTAGACACACACAGGGCTTTCACTCGCCATTACACGCAGTCAAAGATTAGATAAATAACTCCTTAAAAATTCACAGACAAAAGGTCGTGTGCTCGAGTAAATCCGTTCAGGTGGAAAATGCCAAAGGATAACAGTCAGTGTCTGAGAATATAGTGTCAGGGATCTCAGTTCGCTCGCCGCAGTATTTCACACAAAACCCTTTTCCATAGCCATGGGCTCAGCTTGGAGGACTCTCAGCAGGCTACGGCGGGAAAAATAGAAGATTTTATCTGACAAAGCTGGGATTCTCATTTAGCGAGTCTTTGATGTCCCCCCTCTCATGCTAACTTGTTCCTCCCTTCAAAGAAATTAGTCTGATAAGTAAACAAGATGACATCATGGGAAAAGTTACAAAGTGGGTCAGTCTGGTTTATGAGGTTAACAGGCCAAATGTGTGCAGCATGTCTTTTTTTTTTTTTTATTGCACAGTCTTTAAGGAATTATTATTAACATTAACATTTTGAAGAAATTTCCATTTTTGTGTCCTTAAAGTCCTCATTGCATGTCAAATAGCATTCTAGGGTTCAGCTGAAAATGATATGAGACCAGATGGTATCTTTTAATTATATTTTTGGTTTTCTGACACTCTGAGTCCAGACTGAGGTATAGATGGAGATAATTAATGGTGTGGTTTGTAAACACACAGCTTCACTGGTGCTTGAATAAAGTGCATTTTGCATTTCTGACCAGTTTTTGGAGACGACATCACATCACTCCAGTCTTGGCTTCTCTCAATGGGCTCCCTGTTGGCTGTAAAACTGATTTTAACCCTTAGAGGTCTTGGCTTGTTTTGGCCGTTTTTGCATGCTTTTAGTTTTGTCTTTATATACCACATAAAAACATGTCTACCATGCCCATGTTTGGTATGTTTTCTCTTTTTTTTTTTTTACATTCCCTATATGGTCTGACCATTATTTTTTTCACTTTTTCTCTTTAACAAACTATATTAATATTTTGGGCTCAAAAACACACAAAAAATACAAAATCCGATTTGAAGAAATGTATTATTTATGACAATAAAAACCACAAACACGCTTAACGAAGCATTTTAAAAGCTGAAATGTAACCATAGGCTGCAGATGTGAATTTGAAAAGGTGAATTTAATATAAAATCAATTAAATACAACTGTATATGCAACTATACACGAAGCAGGTGTGGCTTTCTTTCTGTTTTTATCCGTGCCACTCCTGAAAATAATTTCTGTCCAAAACGAGGCAGACAGCCACATTACAGGAGCTGCACTTCCAGGGACTTTCTTTCACTTTCGTAACAAAAAAATCGATCCCAAAAAAATGACAGAGATTTTGAAAGAAACGCGACGACCGCAGTGCGTATTTCATATGCTTATATTTTACACACGTTTTTTGTCACGCATGTTCATAACATCATATCTCCGGTTTTACGTGGTCCATCCACATGACACAAAAACTGGGAGAGAGTTTAAAGTCTGCACTTTCGGGGCACTGCTATAGCTCACCTGGTAGAGCTGGCGTCCAATGTGCAGAGCTACAGTCCCAATGTGGAGGTCATGAGTTTGAATCCCGCTCATGAACCTTTCCCACATGTCCTTCTCCCATTCT